AGCTACGTCAATTGGTATAACATAATTCAGAAAGAAACTGTTCTACATCCTAGATTGGGGAAGTAGTGCCAGGGATCTTAAAAGCTTGCAAGCAGCCATCTAAGTTACAGCTATTGCTCTTTTGCTGCTTGGAACAAAGGAGAATGGAGGAAAGCAGACTCAGGGAAGACATTAGCCCACAGCAATCACAGCTTCCTCTAGCCTGAGACCAGAGAAACTAGATGGCACCCAGCTACCACCACCAGTGCCTGGGTTAGAATGGAGGAGAAGGTAGAAGAAAACTCAAATTCATTCAAAAGATCAGATTTACTAATCTGGTAGAGTCTTAAGGAACCCTGGAGTCTATTGCTGTAAGGCTTTTAACCTCGAGCTGAAAATACTCCCAGAAATCACCTCAGCTATATAATAGATTGACCTATAAAATATACAGTAACACCAAGAGGCTTTTTAGAACAATCGGTATGAGACCAAACTGGTAACATTTGTACAAAAGCAAAAATGAAAAGGTAAGGAGGTGCAGGGAGACGCTGGATTAAAATCAGAAAGGCAGTTTAGAAATAGAGAAAGTTCAAACACACTGCAGGGATAGTATCAAAGTCACAGATAAATATTTATATAAATTATTGAATTTAAATTAATTGTCTGTGTAAAATTTCACCTAAGACACAATTAAATGTTTAAAACAGAAGAAGTTTAAAGCAATCACAATGAACAAATGAGAAAATGCTTACAAACATGACAAATTAAGAACTAATTGAAATTAATTTTCTGTGTAAAATTTCACCTGACACAATCAAATGTTTAAAACAGAAAATGTTTAAAGCAAACACAATGAACAAATGAGAAAATGCTTACAAACATGACAAATTAAGAACTAGTTTACAAATATCAAGAAAGACTGCTTGAGTACAATAATAAATTTTGACTTATTTTTGTGTAAGTTGATATATTCACACAGAAAAATTTTGCTTGTGATTTCAGAAAGTAAATCGATAATTGAATAATATATATAGCATTATCCTTACGTGGGAAAACAAGCACAAAAGTACAAGTTTTCATTCCAGCTCCATGCGGCGAAAACCTTTATGATGAAGAGGGCAAGAGACTCCCACCCTGTATCCCAGGTGCCTGGCTCACACCCGCCCTCATGGCATGCTACCTGCTAGTGGCCAATATCCTGCTGGTGAACCTACTCATCGCTGTCTTCAAGTATGTGCCAGATGATCATGTGTTTATTACTATTGATTGATAGCATTTCAGGCTCATCTCAGAAATGTGGTATCATGTATATACACAACAATTTATCAGGACTTTAAAAAAATTTATCATTGTTTTTTCCAAAACTATTTTATTGGGAGCTAATACAGATATCATATCATTTCATAGTTCAATCACATTAGCTGTATCGTACAATTGCTACTACAAGCAAATTCAAAACATTCTCTTCCTTCTTGAATTCCTTGGTATCAGCTCCTCTTTACTGCCCTTCCCTCCCCTCCCTCCACTAAATTCCACCCCAACCCCAGGAACTCTTATTCTACTTGATGTCTCTGTAGATTCATCAATCCTTGGCTTCAGACACCAGAAACAGAGGGTTACCCTGGGTCCCCACTCTGCACTCCCCCTCATTCACAATGCTATGATTTTTGGGGGTATTTGATGCCTGATACCGGATTCCTTCAATGCCTCATGGTCTCACAGAGTGGTGTGCTTCTTCCACGGGGGCTTTGTTGTTTCTCAGCTAGATGGCCACCTGTTTATCTTTAAGCCTTTAAGACACCTGATGCTATATCTTTTCATAGCTGGGCACTATCAACTTTCTTCACCACATTTGCTTATAACAATAATTTATAGATTATCAAAGGTTCATGGGGAAGTGGGAAGCAGCAAGGGAGGTGAAAAAAAATAGACCTGGTACCAAGTGCTCAAGTAGAAAGCAAATGTTTTGAGAATGATGAGGGAAACAAATGTACAAAGGTGCTTGACACAGTGGATCTATGTGTGGATTATGATAAGAGTTGTACAAGCCCCCAATAGAATGATTTAATTATTTTTTTAAAAAGAGGGTTACCCCCAATGGCAAAATACATCTGAGAGAAATCCCAATATGAACCAGAAAAGCTCACAGAAAATGTTTGAATGGATAATCATTTTGCAGATTTTTTAGTTCAATGATAAAGGATAGGGCTAATGTATTCATAAATCAGGAGTTGACAAATTTAAGTTTCATTTGCTTAGTTATTCAATACTTTAGCATGCATCTTGATCTCATGAAAATATTTTCTTAAATGAAAGTCTCTTGAAATAGCTATGCTTTAAACTACCAGAGACCTAAAAAGCAATATCAATTCATCAAGAAAGCAATATCAATTTCATAAAGGTTACAATTATTGTGATGTTATGTAAAATCTTTTTCTTATGATTTATAAAATGAAGGTGAGTGGTGTGGGAAAGAAATAGCTTAAACTATTAAATCAAGTTATCTTCTAAAATTTGAACATTTGCATAATTGGTTGAGATGACCATGTTTAGTAAGTGTTGAAAAAAAATACTTTAGCTTCTACATAAAGGAAAAATCCTTCATAAAAATATAAGCTCTCAGAGCTGAAAAGTAGATTAGAGAGACTCTAGTGCAAATCCCTGGCTTGAGAGATGAGAAAATAAAGGCAAAAATAGGAGATTAACAGTTTTTTGTTTTTGTTTTTTTGGTTTTT